CTGCTTCTTCCAAGATGATCACACTTGGCTCTTCCCTTCTAACAGCCTCTTTCCTTTGTATTTCTCCACATTTCTGGGACAGGGCATCATAGAGAAAAAGAAGGAAAATCTCTTGCTGAAAAATGAAGAGGAATCTTTCAAATATTGCCAGGCTCAGCTTACACAGCTTTCAGAGCCGCTGATGGAAGGCATTTCGAAAGGAACTTTCTTTATACCTGGAGGATACATTCTCTACTCAGAGGAAATGAACAAGGTTGAACAGTCCTATGAATTGTTGCCCAGGTAAGGAGTGAAAGTGAGGAATAAAACGAGGGGGAAGACTAACCAATAGGGTCAGAGAGTGTTTGTGGGTTCTTTTGAAAATCTAAGGCAATAGGACCATTTGTGAAGACATAGCAAAGCATAGCGATATATGTACATTTTTACATTTCACATCTACAATTAGTTAAATACTCTTAAATAAGCCAGAATTTTCCCCCTAATTATAGGATTTATTATCAGGAAGGTAGATGAAAGAGAACATGTCTTTCATTTAAGAAACAATGCAATAGTTTATCATGCTGTATAAGGGATACATAATTAAAGAAACAATGTTCTCGCCTATACCGGTTTGGCTCAGTGGATAAAGCATCAGTCTGTGGACTGAAGGGTCCCAGGTTTGATTCCGGTCAAGGGCATGTACTTGGTTGCTGGCACATCCCCAGTTGGGAGTGTGCAGGAAGCAGTTGATGGATGTTTCTCTCTCATTGATGTTTCTAACTACTGAATGACTCAAGATTATAAACCATCACCATTCAGTTCTCCAGCTTACATTTCAGGTGCATAATCCAAACAGTATGCAGATAAACAAGGAGGGGGAGGCAAGACAATCACTCAATTTATTCTTGAGTAAATCAACTGACTTCCGAAAGAAAGAAAGAAAGAAGGAAGGAAAGAAAGCTTAACAAGCTTATGATCTTACCTAAAAAGGAAATATAAATAGTCAATTGGATTGGTAGGATAATGATTATCATTAAGTATAAACTACTAGTGATGATGATAATGATGGAATGATGGTGATGGTTGATCTATATTGAGCACACACTTCCTAAACCAAGTATTTTTTAAGTTGATCATTTAAATTGATTATCATTTTAATCTTTAAAATAATTTGACTTTAGGTACTAATGTCATCCATATAATACAGTTGAGAAATGAGATGCACTGAGAACCTCAGAAGTTACCTAAGAGCATACAGCCAGCAAGTGGTAGAGCTGGTAGGAAAGGTCTGTGTACCTGGCACCCAGTCAAATCTCAAAAGGAAGTTTAGCACAGCTTATTTGAAGAGGAGGAAGAAGCTATAAGTTGAAGTATCAATAAGTAGTATCTGAGTAAAGAAAGAGAAGATGAGCATCCAGTCATAAGAGAAAGAATGTGCAGAGACTGCATACAATTGAGGTGGAGTGTTAGTAGAACTTCCATAAGTGGCATCATTAAGAGAAGACTGGGGTTGCCAAATAGGGTATTTTTTTCCCCAACTAAAGATGTTGGATTTTTTAATTGTGGCCCTGGAAGGAAAGGCACCACTGTTGGATCCTAAGAAAGATGATTAACTTACAGGATCAAATTTGTAGTTTTGTTGAACATTCACTTCCCCAGCAAGAAGAGTCTTTGCTCCTTGTTTCCTCAGGCAATGGAGGTCCTCCAAAACTTCAATCAATCACAGGTTGCAACAGAGGAATCCATCATGCAGATTGACAAGGCTCTCACTGCTGTGGAGAAGGCTCTAAAAGGTACAAGGGAGGGCTGTGATAATGGACAGCAGGGAAGTTCCTGTAGTGTCCCTCAAGAACAAGTCCTTCTTGAAACAAGGTGTTTTCGGCAAAAAGAATTAGAACAACTTGGCTAAATCTAAAATTAACCAGGTGAGTTTTAATTGCTCTGTGAGGCAACCAGTGCCATTCGTCATATTCTGAAACATGTCTTGCTGGTATTGTTAGTAAGAATATTCAGAGATTCCTCTCTGCCTTTAGAAAACCATTTTAGTCTTACCTTTGAAGGGTACAGCTAGGTATAACTGTTATTTTATTCTCTCTGTAAGACCATTGTGGAACAACTGAACAAGCCAAGACAGAGGAATTGGAAAGAAAACAGGAGTTGCTAACACAGACACTGAATGAAAAAGTGAAACAAATGGAGGCTCTAGAGAGAAGCTTTGAAGAAAACATTGCCCAGCTGAATGAGAAGATGAGAGAACAAAACACAAAGCTGAAAGATCAGGAAAAATTTCTGCAGCACCTGCTGATGGTAAGTCTGGGTGGGATGTGGGCAAAACCTAAAGGATAGTCACCTACTTCCTCATGAAGGGAAGAACGAAACACTAAAGTCATAAAGTATAAAGTACATATAAAGTCATATGATTCAGTGAAATGTCAAGTTAATGCTATCATTCTAAAGTCCCAAGTATTTAGGACTCAGCACCTTTTGTGGTATTAGGATGAGGTTTCAAATAACATGGCCCAGACTCATGATCTACTGTTTGTGGTAATTAGTGTCCTATTGTGCCCCAGGTGAATAGGACTTCAGTTCTTAGGATGTTTGGTATAACCATCAAAGAGACCTGATATAGAGCCATCTGGTCTCAAAGTATCAGATTGTATGTGATATGAAATATGGGATAATGAAAGCTCTAAAAGATGCTACATTGGTTTCCATATCAGCCTGCTCTATTCTACACATCCAGAGTAAATGCATTTTTTGTCCCCACCTCAAGTTTGATAGCTATATTTTCTAGAGAGTCAGCAGTTCCCATTAAACATAACGTGTATGGTCATCCTGCTTCAGTGGATTGAAGAACTAGAACTAAACCTCCATTCCTCCCAAAGAACAGCCTTAGGACTGAAACACATTCCTGGCATAGGTGTCAGGCCTCAGAAAGTTCCAATTCCTTCACATCCCCAGTGATTTCCCAATAAGGGACCTTAGGAAGGTATAAAACAAAGATACTCCTGCTACCAGATCTAGAGGCTTAGAAATATTGGGCGAAAAGCATCAAAGAGCTATTTGAATTTTACAATGATTGTTATGTGGATGATAAAATTATATTTAATTGAGTGCATGTATTACTGGATTTTCCTGAAACCCATAGTCGTCATTTCTTAATTATAACTTCCTCTGCATCACTAGGCAGAAGAGATAAGAAGAAACACAAAGAGAAAAAGAAAGAAATGGAAAAAGCAACTGAAGGTGAGAACAGCTGAAAACACTCCAGATATCAAAATAATAAATTGTAGTTCAAAATTAAGAACTCTGCTCTTTGTAAAAAATCAGAATTTTCATTCTTTTAGTGAAAAGAGAAGTCACAGATTGGAAGTAACTATTCGCAAATCACACATTGGATAAAGTTTTTGTATCCAAGATATTTAAAGAATTCTTAAAACTCAACAAATATCTCACTAACTGGAAAAGCAAATATCCCAAGTAAAGGAAAAATATGATATAATTTAAACAGATACGTCATCCAAAATATACTTGGATGGCAATAAGCACAGTAAGCAACATCATTAGTTAGTAAAACATCATTACTTATTAGAAAAGTGGATATTCTAGCCACAATGAGATACCACTTACTGCACCTACTAGAATGGCTACAATTAAAAAGATGAAACATCTCAGGTGTTGGTGGGGATGTGGAGCAACTGGAATCTTTATACACTGCTGGTGGAAATGTAAAATGGTAAATCACGGGGGAAAAGATTGTCATACCCTTTGTAATAAAAAATTTTTTAAAAAAAGTTAAACAAATACCTACCATGCAGTTTAATCATTTTGTTTCTACATCTATCCCCAAGAAAAATGAAAGTTTGTGCATATGATAGCTTTATTGGTAATAGCCAATAACTGAAACAATGTCCATCCAGAGGTGAATGATGAACAAATTTTAACATATGCATACAAGCGAATACTACTGAACAATAAAAAGGAACAAACTATCAATACATATAAGAATGTTAGATGAATCTGAAAATAAATATGTTGAGTGAAAGAAGGCAGAGAAAAAATGTCTACATACTGTATGATCCTTTAATGTAAAATTCCAGAAAATGCAAGCAATTCTATAGTGACAGAAAGCTGGGCAGTGGTCTGTGATGGGGATGAGGGTTTACGTTCAAGAGGGAGGATTTTCCTAAGGACATGTGAAGATGTAGATGTTTCTGAGTGATGTACATGCTCATTACTTAATTTTGATAGTGGTTTAACAGGTGAATACATGTATGATAGGTAGATCAAAACTTATGTGGCAATATATTGCATTATTTTTATACCTCAATAAAGCTTTTCCAAAAAACAAAAACAAAAACACTCCAGGTAATGGGAAGCCCTACAATTGTTAATGTAAGCCATATCAGTGTTACAGAATAAACGAAGAAGAACCAAGCAACGCTTTGAGAGTTTGGAGTTACACTTTATTCACCCTGGTGGGCTTAGGGAAATGAATCCAAATTCTAAGCAAAGCTACAAGCAGAACTTCCCTTTTTATGGAAGAGCCAGCCCTTTGTGTGCTTGCTGGCGGCCTTGAAAACTACACAGTTCTATCCAATTAAAAAATGCACCTGGCATGGCATTGGGTATATCTAGTCTCTGGCTTACAAGGTCAGACAGCTAAGTTTATCTCCCCCATTATTTAAGCAGGCTAGAAAGCAAACTTATTTTTTCAGAATAAGAGGCCATCTAAAGAATAACAGAGAATTCCAAACAGTAGTTTTACAGAATAGGGATTTGCCTTCACATCAGTGCACCTGAAATCAAAGAATAACAAGTGTAGTTCATAGTTCTAGGGGATTTTTTTAACTGTTATTTACACTTAAAATTACTCAGTTTTGCTTACTCAGTTCAAAAATTCTCAAAAGAAGTTTTCTCTATAAAATAACAATAATACAAAAAAGATGGGTTGAAAGGCAAAATGAGATTATAATAATTTAATCCTCATGTTTCTCCGCTTATTTTTCTTCCTCAGAATCTATAGGAGAAATGATCGAGGAAATGCAAAAGAAAAATGAGCAGATGAAGGGGGAGATATACAAGATTTATGAGGTAAAAATAAAGCAATTGATTGAGAAGATGGAGATGGAGAAGGCCCAGTTCATGGCAGAGCAAGAGAGGATTCTAAATCTTAAACTTTAGGCATTCAACTCTGTCATTGCCATTTTATTTTCCACTGCATTTAATAAAAAATGTGCTTAGAAGTTAGATCGTTATGTAAGATTAAGAATTTTTCTAGCCCAAACATTAGTAGACACTTCATTCTCATACTGCTTCTACCTGTGACCATCTCTGGTTACTAAAGGGTATTACTCGCAGGATAAAATCTCATGGGATCCTTTATTATTAAATCACTAATAAGCAGAAGCTATTCACTGCCAGGCACTGTGCGATGGCTTTACAATCAATCTGTTATCAAGTCCTTATGTTAAGTTGTAGGTACTATGATATTCTCTTTTTCAAATGAGGAAATTATAATTTCATGAGGGATAAGAAATGTTTCAGAATCCTGCCTTGTGGAAGAGTAGCTGGTCTGTCTATTCTACTCAGTAAAGTTCAAGTTGATTCTCTTTCTGCCAGACCTGTATAACTTTATCTCTGCAGGAACCCTAATGAGAAGGAGGAAGACTCAATGACCATATACACTATTAATCATGTAATTATATGCCCACGCTGCCTGTATCATCCTGTTCTCCAGGCTCTACTCCAAGTAATTGTTGTGTCCAGATCTCCACCCAGAAATACAGTGTGGACTGGCACAGGCCCTGGTCTCCTCAAATTATTAATGTTACCTTGCCTCTAAGTTCTCAGCCTGTGGGTCGCAACCCTTTTGGGGGTCGAACGACCCTTTCACAGAGGTCGCCTAAATACATCCTGCATATCAGATATTCACATTATGATTCATAACAGTAGCAAAATTACAGTTATTAAGTAGCAACGAGAATAATTTTACAGTTGGGGGGTCACCACAACATGAGGAACTGTATTAAAGGGTCACGACATTAGGAAGGTTGAGAACCACTGCTCTAAGTTTTGGAGAGTTGTACTAAGTTTCCTCATCAAACATCTGCCATGATTCTGAATCATGTAGTAACTTTCCCAATGCAATTCACTCATCTTTCTCACCTTCTTAGACAAATATTTGAGAGGCCACACTACCTAGATCAGAGTTGAAGGAAAAAATGATATAATTTCCAGGAAGAGTGTGGTGCATGTGGGTGAAGAGGGTCAAGAATATGATTCTGGGTCACTAAAAGTTTAGAAACTACAAGAGAACAACATTTCTGTAGCTAAATAGAACTCAGAAATATTAATGAAAAACAGGATACTCTGGAGAGAGTGAAATATTAGAAATTGAGAAGTGCACTTAGTTCACAAATAAGTTTCAAAAACTCATGAAGGATTAACATAGGTATTGAAAAGGGAAATAATTTGGCAAATGTGGGAAATGTTTTACATTGTGTGAATTCAGTCTTCATTTTTTCTCTCAGATAAAATTACAGTCTCTCAGGAAGAAATACAAGGAAGATATCCAGGAACTTCAATTTGAAGTAAAATATATGGAGAGGAAAATAGAAGGAAACAAATGTACCATACTCTAAAAATGCTAGGAACATCACTTCCTAACCAGCTCCCTCCCTCCACAGGAAACTACTTGATTGAGCAACTTCTGAATGTCACACAGTTGCCACTAAACTAAAATTAGAATCATGATGTTTGTAATTTTGTTGAACCAAAAAAACTGCAAAGACGAAATAAACTGCAAATACAATGTTTC